GGCACCTTCATTGCGCATGCTCACTCATGACTATATATAGTGAAGCGGCGATGGTTTGCATTCATTCAAAAGTCGCATTTAGAGCAGAAAGGTCTGATTTTCCACACCCACCTCACCCCTGTTCTTTATATTTTGACTCTTTTTACTTGTATATGTTTGTTTGTGTTATCTCCATTAGAATTTATATTCTAATGTGAAAGGGGAATTCCACCTCCCTTTTGGTCTGTGTCTATTGGGAGAGGCGAGAATTAAGGGTTATGGCAATTTATGATCATAATTATGTATAGTGAGATTGCTGACACTGCTACTATGTCCTATGTTCTACTATGGGACATAAGATCTTCCATGTAATCTTTCAGAGTCTATACAGTTTATGGTTTTAATATTTGCCTACCTTCCTCCTTTCCCTTTGTGACATTGACTTGGGAATAAAGGTGGTTGAACCCGTTAAGGCACACTACGTATGTAGTGTGCCTCTAGGTTGGAGTACGTTCAGTGGATGAGTTGGATCTCATTGTCGGATTGTTCATCTATTGGATTTAGTTGAGGTAAGACCTAAAGGATTAATTTGTATCTTCATCTTATTCCTGGGAGGGACAACCACACCCACCAAAATCACGGACCATTTCGAATTCCCTACATGTAGACGCATTCATAACTGAGTATCTTTAGTACACACTTACCATGGTTTGAGAGGAATAAGACCAAAACATACAAATTTTGGACATTTCGTCTTATTCCTGGGAGGGACAACCACACCCACTAAAATCATAGCCCATTTCGAATTTCCTACATGTAGACGCATTCATAACTGAGTATCTTTAGTACACACTTACCATGGTTTGAGAGGAATAAGACCAAAACATACAAATTTTGGACATTTCGTCTTATTCCTGGGAGGGACAACCACACCCACTAAAATCATAGCCCATTTCGAATTTCCTACATGTAGACGCATTCATAAATGAGTATCTTTAGTACACACTTACCATGGTTTGAGAGGAATAAGACCAAAACATACAAATTTTGGACATTTCGTCTTATTCCTGGGAGGGACAACCACACCCACCAAAATCATAGCCCATTTCGAATTTCCTACATGTAGACGCATTCATAAATGAGTATCTTTAGTACACACTTACCATGGTTTGAGAGGAATAAGACCAAAACATACAAATTTTGGACATTTCGTCTTATTCCTGGGAGGGACAACCACACCCACCAAAATCACGGACCATTTCGAATTCCCTACATGTAGACGCATTCATAACTGAGTATCTTTAGTACACATTTACCATGGTTTGAGAGGAATAAGACCAAAACATACAAATTTTGGACATTTCGTCTTATTCCTGGGAGGGACAACCACACCCACCAAAATCACGGACCATTTCGAATTCCCTACATGTAGACGCATTCATAACTGAGTATCTTTAGTACACATTTACCATGGTTTGAGAGGAATAAGACCAAAACATACAAATTTTGGACATTTCGTCTTATTCCTGGGAGGGACAACCACACCCACCAAAATCACGGACCATTTCGAATTCCCTACATGTAGACGCATTCATAACTGAGTATCTTTAGTACACATTTACCATGGTTTGAGAGGAATAAGACCAAAACATACAAATTTTGGACATTTCGTCTTATTCCTGGGAGGGACAACCACACCCACCAAAATCACGGACCATTTCGAATTCCCTACATGTAGACGCATTCATAACTGAGTATCTTTAGTACACATTTACCATGGTTTGAGAGGAATAAGACCAAAACATACAAATTTTGGACATTTCGTCTT